ATTTTTAGGCAGAATTTGCAAAAGTCTTGGACGAACGTTTCATTGATTTTTGCTCAGGTATAATTTTCCCAGTTTTTGCAGCTAAGGTATAATTTTGCTAATTTTTAAAGGGAAAAGCGAATGGAAACAGTATACATTTGTATGATGCGTTTGTTTGGGATGGTTTCTTGATTCTTCATGCGGAAAATGAGCGAAACATTTCTGAGAAGGGCATCATTACTGATTCATGCCGCCCCGTTTTGGTAAAATTAAAATTTTGCAACCGACTATAAATGAACTGGCGGTTTTTAATTTAATTAACAAACACTGGTTCATTGAAATTGCATTTTGTTTAATTGACAATTTTAATGAAAACCCCGGACTGTTGCTTTTACATAGAATTTGATCATAAGAATTTGATTATGTATATAATTTGTTTACATTTTTCAAGCTTGGGAACTTTGACTATTTTAAATGCCTAAATATTCCGGACACACACATACGGATATAAAATAAAGAAGAAATTAAGCAAAAAGCAGCTGAAGTGAAAAAGTGGTAGAATTCTGTAGTTCAAAATAAATATCAAAAACCAAAATTTGACATTTCTACTACGGTCGAGGAATACAGTCAACAATGTCACGGAATAAAACAACAACAGCGAGTGTTCGGTAACCGGTTTTACACGGCGTAGGTGACGTGACTCACCTGAAACGCCGAATAACAAATATAAACCATTCCGTGGCTTCGTTTTCGCGAGAGGAAACGATTTCAAAATTGTAGCCTACTTTGTAATATTTTGTAATTTGGATACGTTTCAATCCCATATAGAACACCCCGCGGACCATTTTGCGGTTGTCACATTGCTCCTTTTATCATGCATTTTACTCAACGCCCCGTCGAGTGGTGTTTTGTTCGGCTCCTATACGATAATTGTTTTCGTTAGTTTCGGAATCAATTAACTGTTTTCTGTCGGGCACGCTGGAAACAAGAACGCTCGGCTGCCGAAATGGTTTTCTTTGTCGTTTTTACTCCGCGTAATCATTCGTTTAATCATTGGCCCGTTCGTTAAATACTTTTTCGCTGACTTGAAACTTGTAATTAAAAAGAGAAGAAATTAAACAAGCAGTCGAAGCGACCTGGATTTATACCGCGGCGTGATTTTTAACTTTCCGAAATTTCTCGATTCGTTTTATATCAACACAACGTTTCTCTTTAAAAACGTCACTACAGAAAAATAAATGCAAAAAGGCAGTGGCTACATTGCTTTAAACACAGTTACAAATTAGAATCAAAATTCGCCATTTTTACAGGTATCTGGTTGAGTGTTTAATAAATACTAATATTAGGGGCGAACTGAAACGTAAAAACGATTCTTTATGAGAAAAATATAAAAAAGCTACTCTGTAAGAAAACGAACTATCGATCTTTGCGTACGGTTGCGAATTTACCGCGTCCGCCATCTTGTCGAAGCCCCGCAAACGAGAAAAATATATTCATCGGCCAGATTGCGCTTAAAAATCAATACGGCAATAACCGTAAATCAGAATGGAAAAGTCAATGACACGTTTTAACGTGTGTTTAATAGCGTAACGAATCATTTCGAGCCGAATGCCGGTCCTCCATCTTTACGCTCGCGTTATCTCCGCAACGTCGGAATTCTTCGGAACATTTCTCGGAAAACGGTGACGAGAAAGAAAATTTGATTCTCGTTATATGAGCAACCAGGATAATCACATTGGAAACCAACGTTCGGAAACTCGAGCCGACGGTTCGGATATTAAAAACTGCGGACTCTCTGTTTCACAGGAATTATTAAAATATATAATTTCCAAGTAACAACCTGTTTCCGCGAGCAGATATTCGAGGATATTATTCATCGCGGCACTTAGAATCCATTTTAAAGCGGCGAATTCGAGCCGGATTCCCCTGAAATATCGCGGCCGACTGAAAGCTAAAGGCTGTCCTCATTAACGCGCTGACTGTCATACTGTCCATTAAAATTATCACGACGGGCGGGGTGGGCGATAGGGAGAGAACCTTTCCCTCAACAAATGGAAACACAGGAGAACCTGTTTTTCACGGCGGGAACGTCGCCGGGCTCTCCCGGCAAATTGATTTTCATTCGGGATAAAATCGGCTCCCGTTGAATAATTAATAACCTTCGGCCGGCGTCGACGTCGTCGTCGCGGTGAAAAATCGCATAGATGGAAAACAGATCCAGAAATTCGGAACGTTCCGATCCCGGCGAACGTCAACATGATCCTTTTTTTCCGGCGCGCAAATCCGAACCGTGAAATGGAAACCTTCATGCGTCAACGGTTCGGCAAACTTCACGAAGAACAAAGTAAACAGCAGGCCAGAATTCGGCCGCGGAAAAGCGCGGGCGGGCTCGGTGACGCGGAACGCTCGGCGAAATGAAACCTATCGCGGCGGAAAAAGGCTCTCGCAGTGTTCCAAGTTAATTTCATTTAAATACGGCAAACACACGTGCGGGCACAGCGAAGATTTCCGCGGACGTCCCTTCGAGCGAGGTTCTTGCGTTTCTCGCGGTGCTTCACGCAACTTATGGTTGCGTCGAATCCCATGCACTTTTCACTACGATCGATCGATCGAAAAATAAGCAAAATTCTGAATAGCTTCTGAACTTATCTTCGTATAATCTACTGCTAAATGTTATATTCTGTGCAAATACCTTAGCGACTGACTATCATACAATCCCTTGCACTATAATATCGCGTCTGATTCATTGCGAGCGTTTCGAATTCGTTTAACATAAATGTTATTCGCTTCTCGTAAATCGACGATATTTTGTCATTAATAGATTGCGGATTTTATTCGTTTACGGGAAAAATAGAATGGAAATTTTATATTTCGCACAAAGATCCGCAGTCTGGCCATTACAATCGATGCAGGCATAGTATAATGAATATAAATTCTCTTCCACGTGCAGGAATTTATCCACGACAAAGAAGCGATATTCAAAGTAACTGTGAAAGACGTCGAACTGCAAGATGATAAATGCATAAAAATAATAGAAACTGCGAGATCGCGACGTCGCATACATATGTATTCACGAAGCAATAAATAACGCTTTTGTTAAACTATAAAATGACGTAAGCTGGGGAAATAATCACTCTATTTAAATATCATTTGGCATAAATTGCATCGGGGCAGATTTCATGAGACAAAAATTGTTGATTCGAAAGTGCCATAATTACGGGCAACCTTGATCACCAAGCGAGGACATTCGAACGCAAAGGGTGCAAAAGCAACCGACCCGCAACATGGAGAAGATTTTCCATACGATTTTCGCTAGGCCAGATCGATCCGCTTTTAGGCAGTAATTCGCAAAAACGTGGATCTAATGCGACATCAGGACGCGAAGACGCGCGTGACGCTCTAATTCGAGCATCAGCGTGGACCGTCGTCGACGATTAACGCCCCGCGAGACCATTTAACGGTGTAACCATAAGGAGGCTGAACGTCTTTCGCGGCTCATTAAGTTTGAACGCGTGCGACTACTCGAGTTATCGCGGCCTGAGAGAAGATCGGGCTGCGCCGTGTCGGAGCCTGTTCCCTCGAACACGCTACGGTTACGTCTAATTCGAGGAAACAAGCTCGCTTCGATTCGAAACACGTCCTAGTTGCGACGGGCCGAAACCTTTCCACAGTTTCCACCCCCGGAAAATTCGCGGAGCCTCGACGCGCAGCCCTCCAGAATTAACCGATTCAACGGGAGAGACGAGTTAACTCGTCATTTAGATGCAAACGCAGCTCCAAGATGATTTTTGGCTGCAGTAGGAAACTTGGATCGTAACATTTTTTCAGAACATTTAATGGGCAATACGGAATTTGTCTTCGGCTTCGCACTGCTTCACTGAACTCTGTTTAACACAAGTAGCAATTACCAAAGTTCTGTAGTTCCACGGCCTTTGGATGAACTAGATCACTATAAAATTAATCCTCGTCGGCCATCGGTTTGCCTCAGTTTTCACTGATACCGAATGAATAGTTTTTAACCTTTTCTCGACCAAGCCCAATTATAGAAATATATGTATGTACGTCGTTCGTTGAAGGAGAACAAAATTATGATAACTAACGAAAAACAAATGCCTCGAAACGCTCGAACCTTCTTCATTCTCGAAGAAGGAATTCACAAAGTCACTTGTATGTCCTTTGTACGACCGACTGTCTTTGTGTGTCTTTTGTCCGTTCTCTTAGTTGAACACTAGAGAACAAATTAAGTTAGAAAGATGAAGAGCGAACGAAGGTTATAACATCGTTCACCTAGATCTCATCAGGCACACCCGAGTAATCGTTGGCAAACCTCCTTAATTCCACGTCTTTCGGGGAAACTAGAACGGAGAGATGTTCATTAAAAGACCTGATCAGACACAGCCAAGTAGCAATTATTCCAAAGTTCCTCAGTTCCTTAGTCTGTTAGTGAAACTGAATCGAATTGAAATGAGTAGATGGAACTCGAAACAGTGACACTGTTAGAAGAATTTAATAATTATATTACTTTTATTTCTAATCCATTCAAATTATCCAAGACGGGTATATATGTCTGTCCAATTCCTGCTTGTTGCAACCGATGCACGATATTTTTATTTTGCACGAAGAACCGCGTAGTCTACCAATCAGACACAATCGCGTTGTAATAATCGCTAAATCTCCTCAATTCCTTATCTTTCCAAGATCGAAGAAGCTCTTACTAAAAATCACTGCCTTGAACCGAATCGAACTAAAATCACATTGACGACCGTAACTTTCGGATGCAACACTGTTCACCCAGGGCTCGGGAAAGAGACAGCAAAAACACGATCGAGCAGAGCTGAAGTTTTGGTCGGGTCAGCGAAATGAGGAAAAGTCGTGGAAAAAAATCGCGAGGGGGAAAAACGGTGAACGGTGGTGGACAGGTCGAATCAAAGAGAGAGAGAGAGAGAGAGAGAGAGAGAGAGAGGGAGGGAGAAAGGGAGGCAAGGGAGGAAGAGAGTGGACGAGGAAAAAGTGGCGCTTACCTTCATGTTGGCAGCTTGTGTCGAGCAGGAAAGCGAAGTTAAGCGTGACTGATGCTGGCTTCGTCGGCGATCAACTGTTTTATACCCGGCCGTTTGCCCAGCCTCCGAATTCGTCGGACCGGTGATCCGCTTCTCTTTCTCGCACCTGTCCGTTCCATCTGTCCTCTCTTTCACTCTCTCATAGTTGCTCTCCCGTGCTCTGTTCTCCCCGTTCGACGTCGGAAACGGAGAAGGTAGGGGCACGCCGCAGAACGAAAGGTAAACGCAGTGTCTCCTCGGCTTCCGAGAATCGCGATGATATGTGCGACTGTTAACAGACTTGTTTCTCCCCTTTTTTTCCAGCAGAAACGGATCTGCGACGACGGGCCTCGCTGCATGATCGATCGCTGCCCGTTCGTCTTCGATCCTCAGCGACGACGATCGCTAGTCTAGCTCTTCTTGGCGAGTGGGGCTAATCTCTGATGTTTGTTCAGACTTTTTAGGAATTGGATTTTAAGAATCAGTGTTAGCACTCTTTAGAGGGAGGTGTGTCTTAGATACTCGCGATAGTGTCATCTTTGATCGTGGAAGTTCTCGGGTATTGCAAGGGAACAACAAATGTGCTGTTCTTATTTTCGTTTAAGACCTGTCGATCTTTTTACTGGATCATTGATCTTTAGTATTTGTTCAGACTCTTTAAGAAATATTCGATTTATGCAAGCAGTTTTGACAGCGTTCAGAGATTACTTATGAAATTGATTTCACTTCGAACCTATGGAGTTAATCACTTATACGTGGGTGACGGAATTATTTCCTCAGGTAGGAAAAGTAATTTGCAATTAATGTGATACAGCTTAACTTTTCAATTTTTAACCAAATTCGCACGAATAAAATAATGTTACTTTATAACATTTATTTAGGTTGTTGGCTTGGCAGTCAAAGTGCTAAGGACGTTGAACGAATTTATTCGAACAAATAGTTGTTTGTTTCGAAAAAAAATGTTTGCAGAAATAGTGTTCGCGGTTCTCTTGCCCAGCTCATTGACACACGCTCATCGTTAGCAGTTATAGCGTTAATTGAGCAATAATTAGTTAGACATTACAGTGTCGCTCGCCTCCGTAATCAAATTAATTACGAAGCTTCTACGGGGGATACAAAGGACAGTCTATGTATAGGGGAAAATTTAGTGATTCTCTCTCTCTCTCTCTCTCTCTCTCTCTCTCTCTCTCCCCTTTTTCTTTCTTTCAGGCGAAGACCTCTCGCGAATAGGACAGCTTGCAGGTAGTTTGGCGAATGATATAGCGAACCACTCCTTGAGGTCGACTACTTCAGAGTCGAGATAGCTGTCCGGGAATCACTATATGTAGCTTGGAAAAAATTAGCTACGCCTCGGTTACACCGTGTCAGTTGTAAAGGACCAGGTTCGAAGCAAGGACGAGATTCGAGGAACTCCAGTCCCAGAAAAGCTGTTATTCATGAGCTATTTTTGTCCTGCGAAATGCTTAATTCTTTAACGATAATGCCTCTGTTCTTTCACACTGGCCAGCACCTTCTTCTAAGATATATTTCTTTGAACGGTGAGCAATGAGTATAATATATTTTATCTTGAACCAGTAAGCATTGCTTTGGGAGGACAATTTATTCTAAGAATTTCAAGACTAACCTCTTTAAATGGTTTTAACGTTTGAATCTCATTTCTGAACCATTTTAAGGAGATTAACGTGAAGCACGTGAAGATTTAATAATTGAGTTTATTTAATTCATAATTTTTGAAATACCTCCATTCATCTTCATCCTGTTTAATTCGTGCGAAAAATATTCAACTCGGCGGAGGCTAATTTAGTTTGGCTCTTGAATAATGCAATTCTCACGGATGACTGTGTTCGCTGCATAAGCCATAAAATATAGGCAGGAAGTAGTGACAACAGTATGATTAGAAAATTCAGTTCATTTGAAAATTCAAATTAGTATTGTCCGTTACCAGGTATCCTAACTAAATTTAGAAACAGTTTCGTCGTAAATGACGACAGTTCGTTTCTTCGGTAAATATCTAACGCAAGTAAAGCAAACATCTACCGTGTATATTTGCCAAATGATCGATGAATAAATTGTTCAACGTTATCGTAAGTCTCTAACCGATTGATCCTACAATCCGAACGATTTAATATCGAAAGTAAACGCTTCTATTATTATTATTAATTATCGATTAGAGAACTTCGAAAGAAATCGCACGCCCATCGTGCCAACGTTGTTCACGCAAATTCTGTTTGCTCCGGCCATTTGAACAGAAAATGCTAATTCGAAGACTCGGAGTCTTAATAGACGCATTATTTGCTTCTCTCAGAATTTCCTCACCGAGAACATGCTTGGAAACTTACTACGAGTGCTTGTGAGAATAAATCAGTAAAGCAGGATAACAAATAGAGACACTTTTCTCAGAATATTAAACAGTCACAAGACATCATGACTACATTATCGAAATTATGAATATTCAATTCTTCATGAATGTCACGCGATTGTGTTCGCGTAATTGAAATTGAAAACATCAAGAAAAAAAGCTATAGCATTTTCCACTCTTAATTAATTGCACTTGTGTTTCCATTCCTCGGAATTAAGAAAAAAAGAACTATTATTCTGCAGTTACCTCGATTAAAGTATTACGTTCAAAATGGGTCTGATTATCGAACAGGTAAAAATGATCTCTGTATAACTATTAGACCGCAGGTTATTAAAATACTACATAAAAATTACTATATAAAAAATAGATCTATTCATTGGACAGATAGGTATGATTTGCTTGTTGCTGGATGAAACGTGACGTGATTATTGAATTACGTGAAGATTGGATGATTTAGTTTTCATCATTTCATCAGTTAATACATATTTATTTTCTCGCGACTAAATAATGAATGGTCTCGTGATTCAAGTGTAACCAGTTTAAATATTAAAATTCGCGCTCGAGGTTCCCGCGATATTAGAATTAAACGAAGAGAAAAATCGTTGGTTGCACGACAATAAAATCGTTATCCTTTCTGGAGAATTACCGCAGCGAGCATAATTCACCACAAAGTTCTGATACCCGTTGATATCGCGCGGGGTGTCGCAACGGTCCAAGAAAGATCTAGGTCGTTAATGGACGCGGCTGACAGTCCGTTTCCCCTAGCAATTTCGTAACAGAAACTCTGGAAAAGTCCATAATTCTTTCTTCAAAGAAGCCCCGACCTACGTACACACTTGTACCGCTGACGTTCGAACATCTTTCACGGCGCGAGTGTTAGCGCTAGACTAATGTTTGTTCCGCCGATAGTTGCATCACTCGGACAACAACAAAAAAAGGAATTATGCTCGACGCAGAGATCATCGGGTCGTTAAAATATCCTTTGAATCGGCTAATTAATTCAAGTTCCCCCTTAACACGTTGAGTGCCACGCCGGTCACGTACCGTGACTCACACATTAATATTCGGACACTTTTTAAAACGCAATAATATGTTTTCAACTGGAATAAATAAATTTGAATTTTTTTCGATGATGATTTTCTAGACGATTGAAAAATGTCCGAATATTAACGAGAGTCACCGTATATGAGTGACACTAATTTTGGACTTGTTTCCAAAATTCATTTCTATTGTCACATGTTCGAGCAAACTGAATTTTACTGGGATATTTAGAATACACAAAAGTGTTAAAATACTATCATCTATGATCAATTTTATTTTCCTAGCTCATTAATCAAATTACGTTGATTTCGTGAGAAATCGAATGTATATATCTCACGACACAATCTGATAATTATACTTTCACATTCACTGTAATGTTGCAATATTGATAGCAGAAGAATAGGATTCTATTCCGATGTAGAAATAGAATCGTGACTAGTTTCGTTTGAAATCCTTACCACAAGGATGACCGACACACGACAAAAATTGTCCTCATTCAATCGCAAGACGCAGGAATTTCATAGACATTTACTTATTTTCGTAACAATTTTAATGAATTCACAGTAATGCAATACCATTTGGAAATCGTTCCAATGTTTTTGTTATCTTGCATTTGAACTACTCATTTTCGTCAGAAGTGCATAAAATTTGCAATCTAGTCACAACGCTGATTGCTTTTACGTATTTGAACAAGCAAGACTTGAATAAAACGTAGAAAATTCCTGCTGCGCTCAACGCGTTGATTACAATTGAGTACAATTTTGTGTATGAATAAATGTGTATGAATTTTTATTTTAACGTATCCATGTGAATGCATCGAGATAGATCGCAATACTAAACCGAATCGTCGAATTGCGTCCAAAATCCTACAATTTCTTCTAACTAGTTCGGAGCAACCGGGCAGAGGGGTGCCGCCAATAAACGTTTGTCACTTTCGCAGGGGTTTTACGAGCGGCGAGACGCCGGGTTCGCCGAGTTTTTGCGATCGCGATTCCTCGGAGAGAGGTTTTAACGAACTACGAAGCGCTCCTTAACTCGACGTCGGTCAAATATTATTTTCGCGAGCTCCCTTCACGCTAACGAGCCCCGCGGAGAGAACAGCTGATTCGGTGGATATCACGAGCCGGGGAATGCAAATCTCGAGCCCCTTTGTGGGACACGGCCGGTAATAGGATTCTTCGTCAAATCGCTCGTATTATGAATCTTTCTAGAGCTGTTCTATTATTCGGGAAACGCTGCCTCATTCTTGCTCAACACCAGGGCGGCCACGAGAATCTCTCTCCGTCGCGACGGCCTCGAATCGCTCGGAATTACCCATTTGCGGGTCGCGCATTACTTTTGTTCTCGGCTCTCGATAATTGAATCGAGGAGTCGCGTGCACGCCAGAAAATCCGTCGCGTTTGACCGAAAAAGTTAGGCTTCTTCGAGGGAATCGTTTATGGAAAATATCAATAGGTAAAGTGCGAAAATAGCGAGGCCATTGGAAGTACAGCAAAGTCTCCCTAATCGACGCTCAGCTTGTAAACGAAAATGAACAATTTGGGAAGAGGAGATACGATTATTCGAGACTTGCGGCTCGTTTCTATAGTTACCGATTGTCAACATAAAAACGAGCCGCAAGGCTGGAATAATCGCACCTCCCCTTTCCAAATGATCCATTTTTGTTCCCAAGCTGAGCGTCAATTAGAGA